ATAAACCGCACCAAAAGGCGCCTAAACCGGCACCCAGGTTCGACTTCAACGGACTAAAAACAAGGCAGGCGTAGAAGGGCAACCTTAAGTCCCCCACCCTAATTGTGCAAAGTCGCACTAAAAAACTCGTCCTGAAAATGAGGCCTCGATCAGATTTCTGCCACGTTTAATGATGTCATAAACGATGTTTGTGCTGTGTCTCGCAGACGGCCACTGGGCTCATAGGGAGGGGGGGCAGGAGCCAACCAAGGTAACACCCACACCTTATCACCTGAATCTCCTCCTAGAGCACCATTGAGTTCTTTTTAACCAAACATCTCTTAGAGGGGCGTGGGGAGGGGCTCCTTATTTTCATCTAAAGTAACAGACAGTGAATCAGCACTTTGGAAACAGGGCTGAAACAGAGGGGATTATGGGTAATGCTGCAATGATCTGTTTGGTGTTTGGAAACATGTTCTGTATATCTGAGACCTATAATATATTGCTGAAAAACAGCATAATAGGGGCTCTTTAAAACCTCCAGGAGCCTAACTAACCCTGGACTGAAGCCCCTTCTCTTGCATAAGTTCCCTCTTCTCAGAAATGCCTTTATCAATCTCCTGCATCTCTTTATTTCACCATAATTACATGGCATTGAGGGAATTAGATGATCCACTGTGACACATAGAACATGTTCCATGTCGTAGGGAGATTGAGAAAGGTCTTCTATTAAAATGTCTCTGTGTGATGGACTTTTTCCTATTGCTGTGCAGAGGGAATAAAAACAGCTTGTGTTGCTACCTGAGAAGCCTCGCTGCTGTTATCAGTGTTTGGCACAAAGCCCTGCTGTTTTCAGATTAGCTTCTGAATGCACTACGCCACCTAGCCTCGCTCACTGGATCTGCATCATGTGTGGTTGCTGGGCACATGATGTGTGTGTGTGTGTGTGTGTGTGTTTTTAAGTGTGTCATGGCAACTGAAACCCTTGATTCAAGTTTTCTGCATTAGAGACTCCTCAAAGACCCGCTCACAGTATTTTTCATCCCCTCATCAGGTTGATTTATAGAGAGCCTGAACTCAAGTATACGAGATGGATCTGTTTGAAGAGAAAATCTAAAGTATGCAGCTCAAGTCCTCTGTCATAAATTCTCCATGTGGCTCGGTGAGCTTTAAGACCTCACACTAAGAAAGAGCAGAGAGAGAGAGAGCAAGGAACACCAGGATATTCCTGAAATAGAGCGTATGAATGTTGCCAAGTCATAATCTAGAGATAAATTATTTGATTAAAATGGAAACACAGCTTTGGGTCCTTTGGGGAGCTCGACATGTGGATTTGTGCGGACCAATTGTTGTTAGTAGTCTTTACAGTCATGCTTCTCCACAATGAAACCTGTGCCTGCAAATAGGAAGAAGTACTTTTTAACATTGATGCTTTAAATATTGTTTCTTCTCTGATGCAGCATCGATACCACATCGCTGTACTGTGTGTTAGAGATATAACAAGCTGGGAATCGTACAATAACACGTTAAGGAACTGAGATAATTTTACTTTTGACCATTTACTATCTTTAGCTGTAAGCCAGTACTTTACTTTAATGTGGTCACTTAGTGAACGAGAGGCTTATCAATCTTTAGTTTTTTAAAGAAAGCATACAAACTTTAAAAGCATAGAGAGTGGTGTTTTTTTCTTGAACAAATCACCTGTTTGTTGCTCATTGAGTGAAGGTTAGCAAGCTGACTTTTACATTTTGGACAACTTGTGAATGCAGTCTAGAAATAAAAAACTGGCTAAGTACGTTTTTTAAAAGTTGTTGTGAGAGGAGATTTGATATGTTGGGTAGAGTCTGAAGGGCACTCTTTTTCTGAAAAGTGACGCCAATGCTCTAAACTTGAAGTCTGTCAAATATTTATCAGTAAATCCACTAGTTGCGATAGAGGTCTGTTTGAATAGAAGTCACTAAATTTCACTATTTCTCACTTTGTTTTATTAGCCCTGTAAACATTATGATGTCAAGTTTATAGTTTCAACTGTTGGTTTGAAGCAGAGGCGGACTGGGACTACAAATCAGCCCGGGACTCTCGACCGGCCCACTTCGGTACCGCAAGTAATTACCGCTAGTAAATTATCAACGGGCCCACATCCTCAGTACCGGCCCATCTGGTTTTCGTACCGAACGTCCCGATGGCCAGTCCGCCCCTGGTTTCAAGTGTGCATCAATACAACACAATGTTCATTTACAGTATTTATAACATAAACAAAAACTTAAACATACGTAATTTGACAAACCAACGGGAGATGTGATCATGACTATAGCATTAGTGTCAGCAACTTATTTCATGCTTATACTAAGATTACAGTATCAAATAAAGATGCCTGAAATGCAGAGATGGCAAAAGTACACACATACTTTACTCAAGTAGAAGTACAGATACTCGTGTTTAAAAATACTCTGGTAAAAGTAGAAGTACTGACTAAACTTCTTTACTCAAGTGAAAGTAAAGAGGCTTTGAAATGTACTTCAGTAAAAAGTACCCATAACTAGCAGCTGTTTTAAAGAGTACCTGACCTCCCTTTATATTAATAGAACAATAATGTCATTGTTAGCTAATGAATGTTTCCATGCTGAACAACGGCAACATGACAACGTTTCCATTGGTCCCTCTTCTTTAGAGAAGACCAGGAAATGATGGATACACGGATTGTGTTCAAATCAATAGGCACGCAATGACTCTAAATAATAATGATCACGCCATCAAACACACATTCAAACTAAAGGAACCAGCCTGTTTGGAAAATGAGAGAAGTAGAAAGTACAGGTATTTGTGTTCAACATGTAAGAAGTAGAAAGTACAGGTATTTGTGTTCA